GCTTTACTTGTTAATTAGTAGTGTAGAATATTCGGTTATTAAGACATTGTATCACCTCATGAATTTACATTTTTATCGGTTCTAAGATGGATAAGGGATAAGAGAAAGAGATGAGCAAGGAATAGCTGCTCAACTATCCATTGTAATGCCCATTTTATATTTTGAGTGTGTATAAAACTATGAATGTATAATATTTTAGGTTGTCAACTAGGAACACATATAAATGTTGAGTTGCACTTGTATGATAATAAGTTGTGATGCATTTTAGCTTGAGAATTGTTTGATGTGATAATATGTGTGGCGAGGGGATAAAATACTATTACAAGTGAAAGTACATTGTAAAATGTGTTAGGATATGTTAGAACTACTTGTACAGTGAATTTGTAATATTTTAGCCTAAAGGGAATATTTGGTCAAACATTATGAAATTTGGCTAAAATACTATTAGAAGTGTATGTGGTGATAAATAAATGTGAATTGTGGTAATGATTTAGCCAAATAGTAATTATATGTGGAAATGTAGTGATTGGCCTTGCTAGGTGATAATAGGGCATAGAGTGGCCAAATCATAGTTTTCATGTGTTTTTAGTTGTTTAAATGTTTAATCGGGTGCATTATGGTTTATTAGACTTGGTTTAAGTCTCAAAATGGGTTAATGATACAAGTTTTAAGTTTTAGGTACTTGGATGCTTGAAAATCATTTTAAAAATATGACTTTTGCATTCGAGTGTCCAAATTTCACATACGACATTAGATTGTATTGAAACTTGTACCATTAGTTAGCTTATTGAATAAGTTTCATATAAGCACTTGAATCACTCCAATCGGATGTTCGCCCTAAAAAGTTATTATAAAATGCTATCATGATCTAGCATGTATGTTGCAGGATAAATTGCATATGTCGTGGCATATGGCGTAGCAACAAATTTGAGCCCTCTGTGCCACATGCTGCGGTATATGTGTTAGAATGTGCTAAAATGACATTTCTAGCCCTATTTAGGTGATTTGCTTCCCAAACTTTTTCATGCTTCCCATATGTTAAAAAACTATTAAGTTTGAGCTCAAACTTTATATTTAAAGGGTTTTTCTTGGGACCCCAAATATTTCAAATTATTTTTAAATGTTTACTTATTTTAACCCTTTTATATTTACGGTAAGCCTAAGAGTGATCTATAGCTTCTAATTATCATTATATGCTGTGATTGTATGATGATTAATAGTAATGTCAAGATAGACATTACACTAGCCAACAAACATAACAAGCACAATTATGTCTCCCTTATATAAATTAACAAGTAACAATTTAATTCCATAAATGAATGTAACAATTAAATATGTCTAGCAAATAAACTAATCCAAAATTAATCTCAAACACCTCAAGTATGTCACATTAGCTATACTTTTATGAACTCAAAGACATAGTATTAAGATCTCAACAAATTTAGTCCCAGTTCATGAATTAAAGAGGTAAAAGGAGAAGAAAATTCTCATTATGGTGGAGCTCATAGGTGTGTCTGTCTCCAAAGGAAGGAAACGCCTAGCCACACATGAAGAGCATTATTGAATCTTCATTCAGCTCTAAGGAATGCACGGCCATGGCAGCAAGGGAAGAAAATTCCAGCAGCACTTCCTTCAACAAACCAGAACAAAATTCCCAAGGTTATATGGATTGAGTGAGGAAGACATTGATAAAGTCAGATCTTGATTTGGATGGTTAGATGTTGAGAAGTGGAAGGGAGAAATTGCTGAAAATAAGAGGAGAGAGGGAGATGCTGTGAAAATCGGAAAAAAAAGATGGAAGAATGAAGATGACGATACTGTTAAAGGAGGAGGGAAAAAACCAATTAAAAAAACTAATTCCCTCCTTTTTAAAAAAATGACGTTCTGGAGAGAGAAAAATTTCAAAAAGTGCCGAGTGCATTTTGGCAAAACTAAAAAGCAACAAAAAATGAGTTATTATACAAGGGTCCTAAAATAGTGTGAGTATATGTATGTCTAAAGATATATGTGAGTATGATAAAATATTGAAAAGAATTTAGTTAACTGCTGAAAAATAAAAGTAACAAAGGAGAGAATTAATAAATTAAAATAAGACTAAACTATATGTATGTATGATGTATGATAATGCAAGTGAGAAAATAAAAATAAGAAAAAGAAATAAAAAAATTAGAAATTGACAAGCTATTCTCAAAATTACAAATTAAGTCCAATAAATTCAAATGACGCTTAAAATACTCAAAACAATTGTCGAAAACCAAGAAGAAAGAGAAATAAAATGATGTAAAAAAATATGATTTATCACATATAAGGGGACAATTTGTAAAAAAAAAAATTAAAGGTAAAATGCAATATGATGGGTGAGTATGAGGGTAAAAATGATAAGAGAGAGGGAATGGCACTTGAAGATTGAAAATAATGATATTATCTTGTTTTGGTATTGACACTAATTTTAGTGACATGAAATATATTGTAAGCTTTGATGAAAGGACCCTTATAGAGTTTGTTGACAATGGTGGAATTGGTACCCAATTTGAGCATAATTTTAGAAGTAGTCATGGATATATAGGTTGTAAAAAAAATGACAGTGGAGAAGCAACAATTGAGGAAGCACCAGTGTAAATTACTATATTAATTTCTCTAAATAAAGTTGTCATTTGCTATAGAATTGTTGTTAATTTTAGTAACCAAAATTGTGATTGTTAATATAAATGTAAATGACACATGAAATTGAATGGATTTTGAAGGCAAGATGGAGCAATTCTTGTCACTTTTATATCCAAACTCTTCTTCACCTACCATGCAAGATCATGATTTTAAAAGTTGTAGATTATCTATGTTGGGCAATCTATCAAACTTATATAATTGATAACAAAACTTTAGATAGTTATCACTTTTTAAGGTTTTTTTGTCATTTAAATTAACGAAAGTTATTATTTCTTAAATTGAAGTGATAATTCATTTGTTCTGATTTACTCAATTTTGTAGGGTACTGATAAACTACAATTTCTTTTTATATTGTTGCGATTTTAAGAAGAAAAGGTTTTGAATATTAGAAGAAAATTTGTGAATGGCAATTGATATTTAAAACACTTGAGGAATATTAAGATTTCAAATGTAAACTTGTGAATTGCTATTGAATTCTTGTGATTTTAGAAATAAAAGTTGTGAATATTAGAACAAAAATTGTGAATGGTAATTAATATTTGTAATACTTGAGGAATATCATAATTTCAAATGTGAAATTGTGAATTGTTGTTAAATTCTTGCAATTTTAGGAACAAAAGTTATCAATTTTAGAACAAAACTTGTGAATAGCAATTGATATTTGCAACACTTGAAGAATATCAAGATTTCAAATGCGAAATTGTGAGTTATTATTGAATTTTTGTGATTTTAGCAAGAAAATTTGTGAATCTTAAAATAAAACTTGTGACTAGCAATCAATATTTGCAACACTTAAGGAATATCAGGATTTCAAATACAAAATTGTAAATTACTATTGAATTCTTATAATTTTAAGAAAAAAAGTTGGGAATCTTAGAATAAAACTTGTGAATAGCAATCGATATTTACAACACTTAAGGAACATAAGGATTTCAAATGTGAAGTTATTAATTACTATCGAATTTTTACAATTTTAAAAAGAAAAATTGCAAATCTTAGAACAAAGCTTGTGAATAGCAATTGATATTCACAACACGTGAGAAATATCATGATTTTAACTGTAAACTTGTGAATTGCTATTGAATTTTTGCAATTTGAGAAAGAAACGTTATAAATATTAGAACAAAAACTTGTGAATGGCAATTGATATGTGCAACATTTGATGAATATCAAGATTTTAAATGCAAACTTACAAATTACAATTGAATTCTTGCGATTTTAAGAAGAAAAGTTGTGAATCATAGAACAAAACTTGTAAATTGCAATTGATATTTACAATACTTGAGGAATATCAGAGTTTCAAATGTAAACTTGTAAATTGTTGTTGAATTTTTATAATTTTAAGAAGAAAATTTGTGAATCTTAGAACAAAACTTGTGAATGACAATCGATATTTACAACACTTGGGTAACATCATGATTTCAAATGCAAACTTGTGAATTGCTGTTAAATTCTTGTAATTTCAGAAAGAAAAGTTATAAATATTAGAACAAGAATTTGTTAATGGCAATTGATATTTGCAACATTTGATAAAAATTAGGATTTTAAATACAAACTTGTAAATTGCTGTTGAATTATTGTAAATATAAGAAGAAAAGTTGTGAATCTTAGAACAAAACTTATGAATTGTAATTGCTATTTGCAACATTTGTGGAACAACAAAGTTTCAAATGCAAACTTATAAATTGTTGTTGAATTTTTGTGATTTTAGGAAGAAAATTTGTAAATCTTAAAACAAAACTTGTGAATAGCAATTGATATTTACAATACTTGGATAACATTATGATTTCAAATGCAAACTTGTGAATTGCTATTGAATTCTTGTGATTTCAAAAAAAAAATATAAATATTAAAATAAAAACTTGTGAATGGCGATTGATATTTGCAACATTTGATGAAAATCAAGATTTCAAATACAAACTTGTAAATTGATGTTGAATTCTTGTAAATCTAAGAAGAAAAATTGTAAATTTTGGAACAAAACTTATAAATTGTAATTGATATTTGCAACATTTGTGGAACATCAAAATGTCAAATCTAAATTTACGAATTGTTGTTGAATTCTTGTGATTTTATGAAGAAAGGTTATGAATTTTAAAATAAAACTTATGAATCAAGAGCACGAAATATTTGTTATGAGTTTTGAGATTTTTATTTTAATTAAAAGCAATTTAATTTTTTACATTAATTTCTTAACAATAAAATTTTTTTTAAAGATTGAACAGAATAATAATATTTTAAGAGATTAAAATATTTTTAATTTAATTTAAAATGATTTTATGATTATTTAAAAAAAAAACAATCAATCAAATATGTACACGATAAAACTAAAACCTCATCTCCGTTTCCTCGTCAGACTCATCTCCGTCTCCAAAATCCCCGTGATTCACGAGAAATGGTGGCGTCTTTGAGATTACCCTCTCTAGCCCACCTCTTCTCCTCGCCCTCTAGCGCCGCTAATTCTAATATTTCTGGCCGGTCACCGGTGACTCTCCGGCGTCGATTCCACGGGCTTTTTCTCCGGCCGTGGCCACTCGCTGCTGGCTTCGCCGCCCAAAGCCCGGCTGCGGAGACCCAAGGCGGAATAGATAGCTTGAAGAACCGAGTCCCTGATCAAGTTATCACGCCCAGGTCACAGGATTTCAATGCTTGGTACCTCGATGTGATAGCCAACGCCGAGCTAGCTGATTATGGCCCAGTTCGCGGGACAATGGTCATTCGGCCTTATGGCTACGCAATATGGGAATCGATCCAGGTTTGCTAGTGGAGGAATCGCTTTGTTTATCACTTCATATTGTGCAATATACGAAGATGATTTCTTCAATAATGTTCATTTGGTGGTTCAGCAATTGTGCCTAGTTGCTGCTCCTAGTCTGTAAGGCAGTTTGAATTACTAAAGTAAACATTTTTGGTCTCCCCTCTATGGTATGGGGTGTGCAGGAGTATTTGAATGTGAAGTTCAAGGAGACTGGACATAGTAACATGTATTTTCCACAGGTGATGTCCTGAATTATTAATGATGCTGATTTTAAGTTAGGGCGAACGAATATAGAGCAACTTGTTGGGTGATGGGTATTTTGGGAATTTGTAACTGATACTGTTGTTTTTCTATTAAACCATCTTGTTCTCCTATTGTTAACTTAACTGATGAAATTGTGTGGTCCAAACGGAAGAGGCTAACTTTTGGTTTATGTGGTTTCGTTCCCCTTCCCCCCTTCTAAAAGCGTACTTGGGCAGGGTAATTTTAGATAACGCTCCTCCATATTTTTGCCTTGCTGCCTGCGGCATTACCACATATTGCTTTTCAGACCAATGTTCTTTTATTACGCACACTTTTAATCAGTAAAGAAACGATGAAAAGGTTAAAGAGTTTGTACGTGTCTGACATCTGTTATATTATTTATTCCATTTTTCTTTTGTTTTTGTAAGCTAAATTATATCACTGTTGTGTGCGTTTATTTTTGGAAGTCGATAGTAATGCAAAGATCCTTGTAATGCGTAGTACATAAAAAAAAAAAAAGGTACTATCAATCATTTGTTTAGTGATTTTTAATCCCAACTGTCCTGCAGTTTATTCCATACTCATTTATAGAGAAAGAAGCTAGTCATGTTGAGGGTTTTAGCCCAGAGTTAGCACTAGTGACAATTGGTGGAGGGAAGGAACTTGAAGAAAAACTCGTGGTGTGTGTACTCTTCACTTAAGTGTTACAAATATCTTTACATTTTTTGTTCACTTCAATCTATAACTGAATTGAGGCAGCTGCTCATGTGGTTTTCTTTAAGGCTGTGACCTAAGTTCTGGCTTTGATTTTTGCAATTCTTGAGGTTGTGGCAGGTTCGACCAACAAGTGAAACTATTGTAAACCACATGTTTACTCAGTGGATTCATAGTTACCGTGATCTCCCTCTTCTGATTAACCAGGCAAGTGCTTTGCATATATGATCCTTTTCTTTTTGTGCTGAAGTGCTTTGTATATATGATTAGAATTTAGAAAACTGTTTTCATATGATGAAGCGATTGAACAACCTTGTTTATTTCTTCTGCAAAATGAATGTGGTTTAGTGGGCAAATGTCACAAGATGGGAGATGCGAACTAAGCCCTTCGTGAGGACTCTGGAATTTCTTTGGCAAGAGGGCCACACTGCTCATGCAACTCCTGTAGAGGCAGAAAATGAGGTCTTCTTAAGGCATAAAAAATAAGAATGTCTTCACTACTTAAGCAGAACACTTATTATTTCATTAAATACAGATTACCTGTTCACCTGCAGGCTAGACAGATGATTGACATCTATACCAGATTTGCTTATGAGCAAGCTGCAATACCTGTTATTGCAGGTCGAAAATCTAAAGTGGAAACATTTGCTGGTGCCTATAAGACTTACACAATTGAAGCCATGATGGGTGACCAGAAAGCATTACAGGCAGGAACCAGCCACAACCTTGGGCAAAATTTCTCCCGTGCCTTCGGAACACAGGTATGCTTTTCACTTGAAAAACCTATATATATCATTTGACATTCAGATGTGTTACTGACACCTTGTAAAATGCATTTGGCAAGAAGGTTGTTGCTATTGGAGAAACAGAGGCAAGTAGAAACATAGAAGAGGAGAAAGAGAAGAGTGGGATGGGGAGAACTGGAAATAGGCATAGATTGAAGAAATATGGGATGGAAGGGAGGGAGAATAGTGGCAAATGAATAGATTAGCTATAGCATATTGTCTTAGTTATCCATTGCCAATCTGACAGATTAAAATGCTGTAAGTCATAGTATTGGAATTTTATAGGAAATTAATCCCTTTCATTTAGCATATTGTCTTAGTTATCCAGTGCCAATCTGACCTAGTAACAGATTAAAATGCTGTAAGTCGTAATATTGGAATTCCCTGGGGAATTAATCCCTTTCATATTCTTCAAGTGCATCTTATGTGTGCTGTTATAAATAATTATTGATTATTTATGATTATTGATATGATCTTGTGATGACAGTGCAGCTTTACAAAATGTAAATTTGTGCAGTTCACAGATGAAAATGGACAAAGGCAGCATGTTTGGCAAACATCATGGGCGATCAGTACCCGTTTTGTTGGAGGTATCATCATGACTCATGGTGATGATGCAGGCCTAATGCTTCCCCCAAAGCTTGCACCAACACAGGTACATTTGATGTTATTTTACATCTAAAAAGATTTAATTCTTGGTTGAAAGTAGCTGTTGGGCACTTCACATCTTGTTAATTATAAGCATGATGGTGACAATAGAAAATGAAATAGAACTGAATTCTCCATTCCAAATTTAGGATATGGGTATGAAAATATTTATAATATATATTTTAACATTTTATGATATAGGTATAGGTATTTTGATTTTTAAATAAGAATTTCTAAAGTAATATAATGATATTTGTAATAATCAACCAAAATATTAAGTTTTATTTTCGTGTTTTTAAGTAATATAGAAAAAATTTAATGTAAAAAAAAATCATATTACAAATGTTAGAATATATGATAGGTATGTTGAAGTATCCTACGAGTATCGTATTGGATATTGATATATTTACAGTTCATATCCGTGCTTCATACCCCATAATGTCTATTGTAACCCCTTTAATTAGTTTTAAATGCATTGTCTGAAAGATTGCCTTTATGAGTTAATATAAATATGGCCTTGTTATTGTCTGTGTAATTCAGAACCAAGAAATAATGCAGTTTTTTAATCAGAGTGAAAGTATTCTCTCTTCTCCCTGGCTCCTGAACCAGACAATATGTCTACATCTGTCATGAACCACTTGCTCACTCAATAGGAACAAACGAATCATTATAATACAGAATATTAGCCTGACAACTCGATGGTTCCTGACCGTTACTTCAGGATTTTCTTTAATAGGTAACTATGCTAAACCATTATAACTTAATGGGCTTTTTCATGATATGCATGGGGTGCTTCAGGTGGTGATAGTACCCATCTGGAAGAAGGATGATGAGAAAATGGCTGTTCTCAATGCAGCATCGTCTGTAGAAGCAGTTCTTCATTCTGCTGGGATTAAAGTTAAGCTTGATGACTCAGAGCAAAGAACCCCAGGATGGAAATTCAATTTCTGGGAGATGAAGGTTTCCTTTTAATATTGGATATTTAACTTCATTGAATGAAAAATTATTGGTTGCTTTTACTCGTGATTTATCCTTATTCCAAGTTAGGGGTATCTGATTAAATTCACCTTATTTCAACCCTCATTGTTCAGGGAGTTCCTCTGAGAATTGAAATTGGTCCTCGTGATTTGTCTAGTGGAAGTGTGGTGATATCGAGGAGAGATGTTCCTGGGAAGCAAGGTAAAGCATTTGGAATCTCTGTGGAGCCTTCAATTTTGGAGGCTTACGTTAAGGATAAGTTGAACGAGATCCAGTCCTCTCTATTGGAAAAGGCAATTGCATTTCGAGACAGGTTCAGTTATATGTCTCCGTCTTAAACATCATTTGTCTGTTCCAGCTCAGAAGCTTGTATTGCGCTTGAAAGATGCAATTTCTGTTAACATTTTTTTTTCCAAGTCTTTCATTACATACTGTTGCATGCACTTGCACATTCTTAACCTTACAGACCAGCTGATTGACAAGCAATTATTCTCATTGCAGTAATATCGTGGATGTGAACTCATATGATGATCTTAAAGTTGCAATATCTGAAGGCAAATGGGCAAGAGGCCCTTGGTCTGCGAGGTAGTGGGGTCGTTCATTATTTTATTTTATTTTTGCTAGGAAACATAAATTCTGATATATTGATGAAGACGCAGAACTCTAACATCAAGCTATACAAAATGGCAGTGATGAAGATGAGATTAAAGTCAAAGAAGAAACAGGAGCAACTATCAGGTGCTTTCCTTTTGAACAACCAGAAGGGGATAAGAAATGCTTGATGACTGGAAATCCTGCTAAGGAAGTAGCCATTTTTGCCAAATCATACTGATTCTGCAGCTACAAGCTTTGCTTTTTCTTTGAAATTCTCAAATCACATGTTCTGGCAGTTGAACTTCTTTGTGAATGTTTTGGTAATATTTTGGCGAGTCAAATCATGTTGAGTAACTTAGTTAAGTTAGTTCAAAGCATATAATTGTTGATTTGATAAAACTTTAAAGCATATAATCTGCTGATTTGTTGTAACTTTTTTTAATTTTTTTTTTTTAAATTTAGAAAGATGATTGGGTTTATGCCCTGAGCAAGAAAGCATATTGTAGTTGAATATCTTCCCATGGACCCTGGTTAAAATAGCAGTGATGCATGCCCTCATGGAGTGGGTAAATGAAATCAGAAATTATATTTCAGCGAGTGTTCATTTCTAGCATTGTTTTCAAAACAAGTTTGGGTGTTGAAATACACCGGTTGAAGGTTAATTGATTTGAATGTGATTGAGTTGTGGTGATATAATTAAATTAATATATTTTTAATTAATAACGTATAAGCAAAAAAGTTATTAATAACAAATTTCATAACTTTAATAATTAAGTTTTGAATAAGTTATTAGTGATTGTGGATAAGAATAGGACTTGTGATCTTAAAATAGAAAAATTAATTTTTTAAAAAATTCAATTTGCACGAGAATAAAAACTTCCCATTGATCGAACCAATTATCCTGTTAACATACTAGCTGTTTTTTTTTTTTGGTTCTGCAAACTTTCTATTTATTCTGGAAAGGGTGAAGACTATTTTATCTACAGGTCTACTATTTTTCAGGTGAGCTAGTCAAGCTAATTTGTTTTTAGTAGTAGTAATTAATATTATTGTTATGAATATTAAAATAATAATAAATGTTCATCTTTTTCACCTTTTCATCTTCACTTTTTCTCATGGAATTCACATTCATTTACCTTTATCATTTGTGCAACTTTTAACGTGTAAAACCATGCCTATAAATTGGGTGTATTATTTGTATTGAAAGGTACAATAATTTATAAGAAATTCTTTTATTTTCTTGCCTCTACTTTCAATATTTTTTTTCCCTAGTTGCTTAATTTCATGACATGTTATCAACACGAAAGCTCTGGCAATTTAAAGATTTTGTGGTAAGGTTTTTCATTGCAAGGTAATTTTATGTTCATATATGATTTAATTTATTTTCTAACCTTTTGATCTTTTTAATCTTATTTAATCTTGAATATTATTCAACTCTTATCATATTTTTATTGTAGTCTTTATATGTTGAATCTTTCAAAACTTGAGTTTGTAGTTCTTGACATTATTTAAAAAAATTTTCTATCTTGGGTACTAGATGTGAAAATCCATCTAGATGCCAATGATTTTGGAGACAAAATCAAAGATGACAATCAAACATCTAATCAAAATAAGGCTGACACTGTAATCTTTCTTTGTCATCATTTACATGAGGGGTTGAAATCTGAGTATCTAACTATAAAAGACCCTCTTGTTCATTGGAACAGTTTAAAAGAAAGGTATAACTATTAGAAAATTATAATTTTTTCAAAAGCTCATTATAATTGGATGCATTTACGTTTATAAGATTTTAAATATGCGAGTGAAAATAACTACAAGTTTTAAAACTAGTTCTCAATTGAAATTATGTGGAGAAAAAATCACTGATGATATGTTAGAAAAACATTCTCTACATTATGTCTGGGAATTGGATAATTTGATGGGTGGTGATTTTTCAATTATGTTTAAAAAAACTGTTATTGATGTTAGATGGTCTTGTTTTCCCTTGGGGTGGTTTAAATTGAACTTTGATGGTGGGGCAAAGAGTAACTTAAGTATGGCTGGGTGTGGTGGTTTGTTAAGGAACAATAATGGAAATTGGGTAGCTAAATTTTTTAAGAAAATAGGTGATTGTTAAGCTATAAATGCAGAATTATGGGGCGTGCGGGGAGTTAGGTTGGGGAAGGAGCTATTAGTGGAAAATCTAATCATTGAAGGAGATTTGACTGCTGTCTTATAAATGTTGAAAGATGCTTGGGTGGAGAAGAAGTCTGGTAGTATTTTTCTTGATGATATTTGTAGAGTTCTTGATTTTTTTAGAAATATTGTTTTCAGTCATGTATATAGGGAAGGCAACTAATGTGCGGACTGGCTTGCTAATTACAGTTTTTCTCATGATTTTTTATTTATTCCTTTATGGGATCCTCCTGATCCTTTATAGGATTTATTGTGTAATGACTCTTTGGGTGTTACCCACTCACGAGACATTTTAGTGATGGAATAAAGTAGGGCTTTGCCCACATTCACCAAAAGAAAAAAAGAAAAGAAAAACTTTCTCCACATTTCATGCATATAATGTTCTCAATTGAAGATACGATTTATATAATCCATGAATACTACAGGTGAATTTGTCAAACCAAATGGCATAAATAGATACTCTTAGTGGCCATATCAGGTTTTGAAAGCTATCTTGGGTACATCATCCAAACAATTCTCAACTGATGATAACTCGACCTCAAATCTATCTTAAAAAAGACTGAGGCATGATAGAACTCATTTATTACAATTTTTTTATATTAATTAGGACAATTTATAATGTGTTATTAGCTTCAAGTGCACACATATTGTATTAGAATTGAAAATTTGCTTAAATGTCTAGATTTTGTGCATTAGAAGTATTTTGGTCAAAAAATAAACTTTTGAGAAAATATACAAAAAAATTTGATAAAATGTATTTCAAGCATAGAAGAAGAGTGGTCAAATTATATTTTACAAATTCATTTTATTTTGAGAGTAATTAAATAAAAGTCAACACTTTCTATTAACTTTCTTAAGTGTGTTCATTTGACTTACTTTTAAGTTTGCATTTGTGTAAGAATTTTGTATAATTTTTTGCACCCATTACGTGGACATTTTTAATAAATTCTCCTAAATTTGAATTTAATTCTTCACTTTAATGAAATTTTATGATATCATATTTTATTAAATTAAATTATGTGTATTTTGTGACATAGGTGAAATGTGTACATGTGTATCAATTGGGCTAAGCTTCAAGGAAGGGAAAGTTTGAACATTTGGACATGCAAGGGCTTTAATTGGGTGGAGTACATCTAATTAAAATGTGGATGAATTATGGGGTTAAGTTTACACATTTTGAAATCATTTATAAGTCAATAAGAGAATGCTACCTAACAAGCCTCTTTCATGTGACTTTGGATCCACTTAGATTTTCATTTTGTTTACTTTTATTTTAATATTTTGAGATCTGAAGCTACCAATTTGCATGCCCTTCATCAACAAACATTCATTCAAGCCATCATCTTTCATCCTCTCATATTCTCTCACTAGTTCTTCCATTGTTTTTCACTTTCACCTCCCAAATCTCCATTAATTCTCACACAAACCACTACAAATCATATATTATTCTGTTCCTCTCCATTAGCTTGTCCAATCCCTCTTATTTTCATCAAGTTGCAGAGCTTCAAATCCTCATTTCAATGGCTAAAGAGTGGGGCTACCTCATGAAGATCAAGAACCCCATGGGGATGGAGGTGAAGAGCTAATCTTAGAGAGAGGAAGATGAAGGATGAATCATGAGCTTCATGACTAAACTTCCCTAAATTCCTAGCTCTTCTCTTTTAACTTGATGATTAGATACTTTAGTTGAGGATTTGATTATCATGGCTTTGTAATTCTAATTTGAATTTAGTCTTTGTGTAAAGAGAAGATACTTGTGACATTGAATTCTCTCTCATTTGTTCTTGGTCTAATTCATCCATTTGATGATTAATGCATATAATTATGTTTTTCACTTCGTGAATGGCTTACATTGATGTTACATAATCTTGTGAGATTGATGCTCACACTTGAGTAGCTTTACATAATCTTGTGGTTGCTGATTTCTTTGCTTTTGGCCATAGTACTTGAGGGATGAATTTGATTGTCTCACTTGTTCAACACTTGCCCCAACTAGGAAAATGAACTAAGGACTTTAATCTAAAACTTAGGGAAGTAAACTAATTTGGTTAATTGGCTTGGGATAGTTGTTTTAGACTAATACAATTCAGTCAAGGGGAAGAGCAAGGCACTAATTAGCTTAAATCATCAAGGAGATAATGATTCTAATATCAACCATTCTTTAGGGTTCCAACTCTTTAAAGAGAGTTTTCACACACTCACTTTAGCTTAGTATTTTTTTACTTTTTTAGTAGGTAACTAGATTCCTCCCTCGTGCGATGCACGGGGAAGTTGTCCACAATTGAATTGCGCGTTTCATGGGAGTGGATGTGACTTGAAGCTAGTAATTGGTAATTATTATTGATAATTACTTTTAAAAAGTATTAATTAACATGCAATTCACATGCTAAGAACGGTAAAAATTATTAATTATTAATGATAATTACATTAAAGTAGAAAATAACTGGAGATGATGGGTAAGAATGGTAAAACCTAACCATATTTTTTAATTTTAACATACGAAAGTACAAACCAGCTAGAGATAATGTGTAGGAAATGAATAAAAAAATTAACTATTCTTAGGAGCAAATACACGGGACAGGCCACAAATCTAGGCAAACTCACCCACAAAAAGTAGCAAACTCGCACAGATCACATTGACAAGTGCAAGACTACATTATAAGAAACTAATAACCCAACAGCAATACCTAACCACGACACATGTACCCTTATACAAGAATAGAAGCCCTTACCTAAATGCCAGCTCAAAAAAATTCTATCACATCTCCAAAAATATACAATAAAAATATATTTCACTTTTGCAATAATTAAAAAACAAATACACGACTTCTAAATTAGTTTCAACGTGTGCCATCAATATAGCGGTTCATAAATTTTTTTTTTATTCCAGTGAGGTAATTGATGCAAATAACACATCTAAGCTTCTGACTCAATAAAAACAATTGCATAACAGAAACACATTTTACTTTAGAGTTATATAAAATCTATCACCTAAGCTCTAAACCTATATCAAAAAATTAAAGCATATATACTTGACTGAACCTATAAGTTCAATGCCACATTGATCCTTATTTGCCATGCAAACAAAAGAGTCCATTAACAAAAAAAAAGCAGACCTTCTGCCACTTGTCGTGCTGTACAATCTAGTCTAAAAGCTTGATGCCAATTCGATCCTCCTACACATTCCATGAACACAATAGAGATTTACTCATCTTTAGAAGGATTTTGATGCAAGCATATGGTAGAATCCAAGAGAAACAAAACAGAATAGCAAACAATGTTATAAACTCTGACACAAAAATCACTTCCAAATCTAGTGAAAAACGGAGCTTTCCAAAAGCAATGCCATATACTTCCAGCACAAAGGATAGAACCTGCAATATAATGAAAAAAATGCCATATGATTAGGACATTTGGG